CTTGTATTTCTGAGGGGTTGGTTGTAGTAAGTCCATTTTCATTCATAATTTTGTCTATTTGGGTGCTCTCTCTTTTCTTTTTGAGAAGCCTGGCTAGAGGTTTGTCAATTTTGCTTACTTTTTTAAAAAACCAACTCTTGGTTTCATTGATCTGTTCAATTGTTTCTTTGGTCTCTATGTTGTTTATTTCTGCTCTAATTTTTACTATTTCTCTTCTTCTACTGGGTTTAGGGCGTTCTTGTTGCTCTGCCTCTAGTTCCTTTAGGTGAGCTGTTAGATTTTGGACTTGCGCTTTTTCTAATCTCTTGAAATAGGCCTGGAGTGCAATGTACTTTCCTCTTAGGACTGCCTTTGCCGCATCCCATAGATTTTGAATTGTTGTGTTTTCATTTTCATTTGGAAAACAGACTGTTCTTAAGACACTTTTCTTAGACCCTTCCTCGGCCAAAGATCCAATTCCATTGCTCACAAGGTCTACCCTGCACAAAACACCAGGACAGGAACACAATTCAGCCAAGTGCTTTTCTACATTTTCTAACAGCAACACCTTTCCTCCAGCTTCCAATAAAGTGTTCCTCATGTCTGGGACTCCGCCAGAGTGGCCTCTGGGGTCTGTACTTCCACAACACCCTCCTCATGACCACCGCGGCGTTCTCAAGAAGGCTGAGGTCCCCTCTACAGCTCTCCCCTTCTGAGCTGTCACCAGAATCGCCCTTCCTGCTCCTTTCATGCTGATGCAGGCTTTTTCTACCCCGCACTCCCAACTCTTCCAGCCTCCATCCACCGGGCTGTTCCCATGCCACGTACACAGGTTTAGGGATGTTTCACAGGTGTACCCCACTTCTCATTACCAATTTTTGTCTTAGTCTATTTTAAGCTGCTACAACGGAATGCCAGAGACTGGGTACTTTATCAACAACAGACTTCTTTTATTTTTATTTATTTATTTATTTATTTATTTATTTATTTATTTATTTTTTGTCACAGGGGCAGAATCTGAGAAGTCTGAGCTGAAGACACTGGCAAATTCAGTGTCTGGTGAGAATTCATTTTCTGGTTTATAGACAGAATCTTCTGGCTGGGTACTCAAATGATGGAGGGGCAAGGGAGCTTGCCTAGGCCATTTTTATAAGGGTACCAACCCCACTCATGAGGTCTCTGACCTACTCACCTCCTAAAGGCTTCACTTTATATCATCGCCGTGGGAGTTAGGTCTTAACATATAAAATTCGGTGGAACACAAATATTCAGCCCATAGCAGGGTACCAAACAGATAACAGACTTTTCCTTTACTGCTGGAAGTTTCAAACACTGTAGATTTGCTTACTTAGTCCCATTAAACTTTAACTGGTAACAAGGAGTTTCAATTTTGCCATGTTTTACCGGCTACTCTACTGGCAGAGATGTGATAACACCCTAGAGAAGATATTGAGACTGAGCCTTTGGAACTACCAACAAAGAGCAGATCATCTAAACAGTGAAAAAATTGGCTATCAAAGGATGGAGGCACCTATGCTAACGTCTTCTGCGTCCACCGCTGGTACATGGCAGAAGATTTGGTTTTACCAACACTTCTCTCCTTGTAAGTCTCTCTATTGAGAATACCTCCCTCTAAAACTTGTAAGACATGGAAATACACAGTGCAATGCATCAGTGTCTACCAGAGATTCTAAAGCAGCAAAAATAACAGGATGTTGAATGCACCCAAAGGATTCTATCTATATTGCTATGGGAGCTTCCTTCCTAAACCCTATCACTTGAATTTGAGTTGTCTTTTTCTAAGTGAGTGCAAAGTATTTTAATGTGCAAAGTAGTCAGGTGCTGCAGCGATATTACACTTTCTCTTGGGCAAGTATTTGGGAGGGATTCAAGGGACCGTGTGAGGCTAGCATGGGGTCTGCCTAGGATAGTAGGGAGACTTCATTCTCCTTTGGCTCTTCATCCTAAGATACCTGCTGCGCCTCTTTATCTTATAGCTCTTAGTGTCTACAGAGTAACCAGGACCAGGGGCTTTGCTCTGTCCATGAAGGTAACCCGCAGACTTGGTGCTTCTGGACCCCCCTGTACCTAACGTCCCCTCCATCTGCAGCATCACATAGACAAGATGGTGACATGGATACCTGCTGTGAAAGAAGACACAACAGGACCAAACGGTGGTCACTTATACTAAGCCCCATGTCCCCAAACCAAGACTCAATACCTAACTTAACTACAGTTTCGGCCTCTCCCAGCAATGGGATCTGAAACCCATCAAACTGTAATTACTTGGTCAGCACTAGTGAAGTAATGTGCCTCACAGACCGCTACCAGCACTTAAAGAAAGGTGGCCTTACCACACCATCCACTTCTTGCAATCCACTTTTTGCTTGCCACCAATCCCACAGCTTCCTTGTCCACCTCCCTTCTGCCCGTAAGTCTTCTATTTTGTACAGTTCCTCGGAGCCCCTTTCTGTCGCTGGATGGGATGATGCCCAATTCATGTACCATAAAATAAAGACAATAGGATCTTTTAAATTTACGTAGTTGAATTGTGATTTCTTAAAATTAATTAATTAGTTTTGAGAGAGAAGGATAATGTGTGTACAAGCATACAAGCAAGGAAGGGTCAGAAAGAGAAGGGGGTGGGTAGAGAGAGAATCCCAAGCAGGCTCCATGCTGCCTGTGCAGAGCCCAATACAGGGCTGGAACTCATGAACCGTGAGATCATGACCTGAGCTGAAATCAAGAGTCAGACGTGGAATGCCTAGGTGGTTCAGTCAGTTAAGTGTCTGACTTCAGCTCAGGTCCTGATCTCACAGTTCTTGGGTTCCAGCCCGGCCACAGGCTCTGTGCTGACACTTGGGGGCCTGGAGCCTGTTTCAGATTCTGTGTCTCCCTCTCTCTCTGCCCCTACCCCACTCATACTCTATTTCTCTCTCTCTCTCTCAAAAATAAATAAACATTAAAAAAAACAAAAAAACAAAGAGTCAGCCACTTAAACCAACTAAGCCACCCAGGTGTCCCTGAATTTTGTTTTTTAACAGTACAGATGGCAGTAACGGGATCCAAAGGAAAGTTCTGACAGCTTTGGGGACAATGAGAAACACAGGCGTGGATGCCAGTGAGCCCTCTGAGCTCTCTCTCTTCCTCACCATTTTCGAGTTCTCTTGGTTCTGAGCACCTGTCTGCATTGAGCTCTCAATCTAATTGGCTTCCTAGTTCAGGGCAGGTGAACTTGAGTTAGCAAATTGTTTTACCTAGAACCTAAGCCCCCAATGCTTGTTTAAGTCCACAGTTCCCCATTTGATTGGAATCCTGCTCCACAAATATTTGGCAGTGTCTAATAGAAATGAGAGATGAAAGTCTATGACCCAAAGTTTCCGCTCCTAAGTATATACTGAATACGGATTCGTACACATATCAATGTCTCACCGAAACACAAGTTCTAGGATTTACGTAGTGGCACTATTTCTAACAGCCACAAGCTGAAAACCACTCACTAGTCCATAAACAATAGAATAATTTTTAAAAATTTTTATTTATTTGAGGGAGAGCGCAAATAGGGGAGTGACAGAGAGAGGGGGACAGAGGATCTGAAGCAGGCTCTGAGCTGTCAGCCCAGAGCCTGATGTGGGGCTCAAAATCAGAAACTGCAAGATCATGACCTGAGCCAAAGTTGGATGCTCAACTGACTGAGCCACCCAGGTGTCCCATAGAATAATTAAATCAATACTTTAATGTTCACACAATGGAATCCTACACAACAATGGCAATGCAAGCTCTAGGCAATGGTATGGATAAATTCACAAACGCCATATGGAATAAAAAAAAAAGATAAATACAAAAGGTTTCATGCTGTCAGTACAGTATCATTTATATAAAATAAAATAGGAAAAACTGATGCGTGTTTTTAGAGGCTAGAATAGTGGTCACTCTTGCGGTCATGACTGAGAAGGAGAACCAGGGACTTCTGAGTGTTAACAGTTTATCTTTATCTGGGAGTTACAGACAGAAGTGTATTCATATTCTGGAATTTCTCAAATTTGCTATGTATTTAGGACCTGTGCACATGTGTTTGTTTTTTAATAGGTATCACAAATTTTAAAAAACAGGTTTGGGAGAGGTGCCTGAGAGGTGACTCAGTAGACAAAGAATGTGACTCTTGATCTCAAAGTTGTGAGTTCAAGCCCCAGATTGGACGTAGAAATAACTTAAAAATAAAATCTTTAAAAAAAAGAAAGAAATTAATGTGGAAGAGTTAAGATAGAAAAACAAGACAGAGCACCTAGGTGGTTCATCCGGTTAAGTGTCTTATGTTTGCTCAGGTCATGATCTTGAGGTTTGTGAGTCCGAGCCCCATGTTGAGCTCTATGCTGACAGGCCTGGAGCCTGCTTCAAATTCTGTGTGTGTGTGTCTCTCTGCCCCTCCCTTGCCTACGTTCTGTCTCTCTCTCTCGAAAATAAATAAAAATTAAAAAAAAAAAGAAAAACAAAACAATAGACTAGGTTCAATGTAGACCATGCAATAAAAAGGTAAATCTAAACCTAAATACATATATCCATTACTATATAATATAAAGTACTTTGTCATTATTGAAATTAGTATTATTTTTAAATTCCTTATTGAATACTATTGCAGTACCATTGATTGATTGGAAGCAATTACATGTATATGCATATATGTATGTATATATGTGTGCATGTACACATGATTACATTTATATGCATACCATGTATATATGTGTTTATTTATACATATACACAAAAACACATATATACTAATATAGTATATATGTGTATATGTATATATTTTCTCCCTTGTGGTCTAATATATGGTAAGCATTTTGGTGCTCATGTGAGCTGAAAATGTCTTTCTCTATTTTGTAGCACAAAGTTCAATATCTATCTATAAGGTCAAATTAACTCTACTGCTTTTAAAAGTATAGAATCCTTGATACTTTGCATCTGTTTCATAATGCAAAGAGAATTATATGAAAATATTTCCAAAATTAGAAATATCCATGTTGTTCATTTTGAAATCTACAAGCCACAAACTCCTCATTAGAAAAAAATAGATTCATGGGGTGCCTCTCAGTTAAGCTTCTGACTGTTGACTTCAGTTTAGGTCACGATCTCACCATTTGTGAAGACTCCATGAGTTCAAGTCCTGAGTCAGGCTCTACACTGATAGTGCAGAGTCGCTTAGGATTCTCTCTCTCCTTCTCTCTCAGCTCCTCCCCTGCTCACGCACACATGCGCTCTCTCTCTCTCTCAGAATAAATAAATAAACCATAGGGGCGCCTGGGTGGCTCAGTCAGTTAAGTGTCTGACTTCAGCTGAGGTCATGATCTCACTGTTTGTGAATTCAAGTCCCACATAGGGCTCTGTGCTGACAGCTCAGAGACTGAAGCCTGCTTCGGATTCTGTATTTCCCTCTCTCTCTGCCCCTCCCCAGTTTGCGCTCTGTCTCTCAAAACCGAATAAAAGTTAAAAAATTTTTTTAAATAAATAAACTATGAAAAAAAGTGCCTTGCCAGTATTTTTCAAACCTGTCAAGGTCCTGAAAACCAAAGAAAGGTTCAGAGAGTGTCATAGAGAAGACTGGGGAGACACAATGACGAAGTCTACTGTGGTATTTCACACTGGTCCTTGGAAGAGAAAAAAGACAAAAGGCGCCATGGTAACATCCAATGGTAACATTAGAGGAGACTGGATGGAAGGTATTTCAGACATCTGTGTATTATCTTCACAACTTTTCTGCAAATATTAAAAAAAAAAGGGGGGTGGGGTGAGTGCCTGGGTGGCTCAGTCAGTTAAGCATCTGACTTTGGCTCGGGTCATGATCTCCCGGTTCATGATTGAGCTCTTCATCGGGCTCTGTGCTGACATCTTGGAGCCTGGAGCCTGCTTCAGATTCTGTGTCTCCCTCTCTCTCTGCCCCTCACCTGCTCATGCTCTGACTCTCTCTCTCTCTCTCTCAAAAAATAAATAAACATAGGGGCGCCTGGGTGGCTTAGTCGGTTAAGCGTCCAACTTTCGCTTAGGTCATGATCTCGCGGTTCGTGGGTTCGAGCCCCGCGTCGGGCTGTGTGCTGACTGCCAGCTCAGAGCCTGGAGCCTGTTTCAGTCTGTGACTCCCTCTCTCTCTGACCCTCCCCTGTTCACGCTGTCTCTCTCTCTCCTAGAAATAAATAAAACCTTAAAAAAAAAATAAAAGATTTTTAATGTAAATAAATAAATAATAAATAATTTTTTTAAAGTAACTCTGTGGCCAACATGGCGCTTGAACTCACGACCCCAAGATCAAGAGGCTCATGCTCTACCAACAAAGCAAGTCAGGAGTCCCTATAAATGTAAAAAAATTAAAATTTTTTTTTAATGTTTTATTTATTTCTAAGAGAGAGAGAGAGAGACAGCGCAAGCAGGGGAGGGTCAGAGAGAGAGGGAGTCACAGACTCTGAAACAGGCTCCAGGCTCTGAGCTGCCAGTCAGCACAGAGCCCGACGCGGGGCTCGATCCCACGAACCGCGAGATCATGACCTAAGTGAAAGTCGGACGCCCAACCGACCAAGCCACCCAGGCGCCCCTGTAAAATTACTTTAAAATAGAACATTTACTTTAAAACTTTGCAGCTTATAATTACAGATAGTTACATTACAATATTTCCTATGTTTGAGACCATAGCCATTTTTTCCTTGAAGGAATTTTAATGTCCTTCGTGATTTCAAAAACAAACTCATCCTTAAACAAAACAGATTTGTATCTTTTGCTTCCTCTGTTGCTTCAAGCTTAATGGAAAATTCCTCCACAAATGTATTTCCTCAGGTTGAAAATTCAGGAGTCCATCTTGAAATGTTTTTCTTGTCCACACAGCCGATTGGCATCAGGGTTTTACAGGACAATGTTCCCTCTACAGATCCTAGAAAAGCATTCATTTTCCCCATATACCAAATCTCTATTTAATTGTTGCTTCTCACCTGCTGTTCTTTTAAACTTCAGCTGTTAACATCTTTCTGTGTTCTTCTTAGTGACCCTATAGATCATTCTTCCACTGTTTACCTGAAAACATTTTCATATGCTAATCTATTCCATAATCAAGACTGTTTTTCAAATGACCACCATTTATCTTAGGAGGTAAGGGACAAAATTTAAAACATGGCTTTTAATTTCTGCAATAGTTGAAATGTGAAATTTCTCCTGCTTCACGCCAGGCCACTAGCATTAACATCCAGGCCTCTCTTCCTTCTTGGGTCATCCCAGATGTAATTTGTTTTTTAGGGAACTGTCCTTACAATTCCATGCCCAGTTAGGTTTTAGGAAAATTTAATATGTCAGACTGAAAGTGACACACTCAAAAACATTTTCAGTATCTCACACACTTCAGGATTATTTTATCATTGCATGGACTCCAAATTTCTCCACAACAATTGTTAATGAACTGCAATTATGTAAGTAATTACATAACACTTTATTTACTAGCATTACTACAATTTACTTTTTATTATTAGGACAGAATCTCCATCTGTCTTATTTACTAGT